CCTGCTCAGCAGAGCACAGGGCACAGGATCATGTCTAGACAGCTATGGGTATCTCCAGTGAGGGAGACTCCTCAGCCTCTCTGGAGGGAATTCTCAGGAAAAACGTGTGTCCACCTCCATCACACCCACAGGCACCGGACAACTTCCCTCATCAGCTCTTAACAACCCACACGTTTCCAATTGCCACAGCTTTTATGCAAATTCTGGGGAAATTCAATGAGGAAAATAAGACTCATGCACGCACAGATGCAGTTATTACCAAGAGAACCTGCTGAGCACCCTGGGATTTGCCTGCTTTTAGGATTTCTCTTTAATGTCAACTTCCTCATAGTCAGGAATTCTGCAGATCGCTCTGGCAGAGCTCCCGGCAAGAGCATGGATCCTGTCATCAGGATGTGGATACATCAGCGTGACTCCTTCTGAGGGCCTCCTCAGCACAGCTGGGATTCTGTGTGGAATGAGGAATCACAAGGCAAATTCCTCCTGCGCCACCAGCACAACGCGAGATTGGAGCAGGTGCTGATTGAGGAGTGGCAGCTTTGTGCCACGTCCCGTCAAACCTTTCTAGCACTTTCTACAGGGCATCCACAAACTCCTTAAGAAATATTCCCTCGGTTTGGAAGGAAGACCGAAGGCGGCTCTTACACAAAGCGTGTGTAGTGGAACAGGGATTCTGCCCGGCCCTGGGGCGAGTGCAGTGTCGGGAGAGCCGCCCGTGTTTCCGGCTCCGGGCAAGCCCTGGAGCAGCGTTCCTGCGAGCCCGGGGGCACCGCGTGCTCCCTGCTCCCCTTCCCCCGCCTTTCCCACGGGAATCATCCCAGCCTCATCCCAACCTCATCCCAGCCTGATCCCAACCGCTCCGGATCGCCGCCCGCAGCGGGAACAGCGAGCCCCGGGCTGGCTCGGGCTGGAAGGGAGCACAGCGGCTCCTCCGGTGCCACCGCCGCTCAGCAGGGCGGTCCCGGAGCACAGGCACGGCATCGCGGCCGGGCGGCTCTGCAATGGCCCCGTGAGCAGCCCCGCTCCCGGCACAGCGAGATGCTCGCGTCTGCCCAGGAGCTGCCACGGGGGGAAACATCCGCGCCGGGAGCTCCCTGCCCTGCCCAGGCCCTGCCGCCTCCTGGCCGGGACACGCCGGATGCTCGCGGCCTCCCGCGTGTGCCCAAGCCCGGAAGGGGGCTCGGTGTCCCTGTGGATGACTCAGCGCCCCGGTGGCGGCCACACTCACCGCGTGGTCGCCGGGAGCCCGCTGCTTGAAGGTGGTGGAGAGCGAGATGGGCGGCACCATGGCCCCGGAGCGCCATTGCTCGGGCTCCTGGCCGGCATGGATGGCATGGGTGGCGAAGTGCTTGAAGGGCGGCAAGTACCCCTCCGTCCCCTTGCCTGCCATGGCCGCGTCTGTGTGGGACCGGCCCGCAGCGCTCCGGGGGCTCGGCGGGGCGAGAGCTCCTCATTGGCTGCGGCGCCGGCGGGGAGGGGCCCTCGCGCCCTCCCATTGGCTGCCGGCGGGGCGGGGCCCGCCCTGCACAGGCAGCCCCCGCCCGCTGGGGGGCGCCACGCGCTGCGCGCTGAGGGGCCGCTCCCGGGAGCCTTGCCGGGACCCAGGGGCGCCTTTCCCGGGAGCCGTGCCGGGACCCAGGGGCGCCTTTCCCGGGAGCCGTGCCGGGATCCAGGGGCGCCTTTCCCGGGAGCCGTGCCGGGATCCAGGGGCGCCTTTCCCGGGAGCCTTGCCGGGACCCAGGGGCGCCTTTCCCGGGAGCCGTGCCGGAATCCAGGGGCGCCTTTCCCGGGAGCCGTGCCGGGATCCAGGGGCGCCTTTCCCGGGAGGAACCGGGAATAATCTGACCGCACGGCAATGACCCACAGGGGAGCAGCGTGCTGACTGCCCGGCAGCGCTGCCTGCAGTACCTCAGCACCTGGGAGTAACCCCAGCTGGGCACGGGCTGGGGGACCGGCTGGAGCTGCTCTGGGGGAAGGATCTGGGGATTCTGAGGGACAACGAGCTGTGCCCGGCCAGCAGTGTCCATTTTGATCCTGAGGGACAACGAGCTGTGCCTGGCCAGCGGTGCCCAGTGGGATCCTGAGGGACAACGAGCTGTGCCTGGCCAGCGGTGCCCAGTGGGATCCTGAGGGACAACAAGCTGTCTATGGGCAGCGGTGCCCAGTGGGATCCTGGGGTACCACAATCAATTCCAGCAGGTCAGAGGTGATCCTGCCCCTGTGCCCAGCCCTGGGGACACCTCTGGGTGCTGTGCCCAGCCCTGGGGACCCCTCTGGGTGCTGTGCCCAGCTCTGTCCCTCAGCACAGCAGGGCAAGAGCTCCTGGAGCTGAGCAAGGGCCTGGAGCATCTCGGTGCCCAGGAAAGGCTGAGGGAGCTGGGGCTGCTCAGCCTGGAGAGGAGCCCCAGGGAGAGGGCCCTCAGCCCTGGCTGTCCCTGGCTGTCCCTGGCTGTCCCTGTGTACAGAGGTCAGACCCAGCAATGGCCCCAGAGCCACGGGCAGGGACTGAGCCCAGCAATTCCCCCAGCACAGGAGGCAGAGCTTCTGCTCCAGCCCTGAGCAGATTGTGCACAGAGGCTGTGGACTCTCCTCTCTGGGCATGTTCCAGAACCATTGGGACACAAACCCGTGCTCTGGGATGTCCCTGCTGGAGCAGGGAGGTGACTGCAGAGGAGCCCCTGTGGTCCCTTCAGCCTGACCCATTCTGGAGTTCTGTGATTAAAAATTAATTCACTGAGTCTCCCTGCCAAGGTTATCCTACGTGGACTGATGTCCATGGAACAGCACTTTGACATCTGAGGACAAAGAACACACATGTGCTGAAGGCCACTGATGAATGATTTATATATTAGACTTTGTAAGGAAACATTTTTTTTACAACAAAAATATGGATAAAATGTGAGCAAAGCTGGATCTAAGAAGAGCAAACCTCTGGATGTGTGCAAGACCATGCCCCAGCCTCACATACAGGCAGGAACCTGGGATTTAGGAGGGAGGAATTCCATCCCCTGTTGTTAAATCTGATTGCTGTAGGAAAGTTCTGTTGATAGGCAGACAAAAAAAAGCCATTCCCAAGAATTTGTAAGTGTAAAGTAATCCCACAGCTGGGATTCCTTACAAACACCAGTTTTCCCGGAGCCCTTCCCATGAGTAATGCTTTGGTTCCATTTCTGGGGTGAATAAGGGAGTCCATAATAAGCTGGTAAACAGTGACTTCATGCCTCTAGTAATTAAAAATGCAGCGTGAGGCTTCCACCATCAGCTAAAACCTGAGCCAATCCCTCCATTCCACAAGACCAGCCATGCTCTGTGTGTGTTTCCAGCATGGGAGAACAGGAGACATCAGAACGGCTCACAGTGCCAGCCTCTCACATTCTGCCTGCAAATGGGTTTGACTTTCCTCAAAAAAACAGGGAGAGACAGAAAAATCTCAGTGGAAAGACCACTGGAGTATAGAGCAAAAGCAAATTGTTGGGTTTTTTTCTATTTTTTTCCTAGAATTACTTCAAATTCTGTATTAGGACTGTAAAAAGCTGTGTGGGAAGCAGCTGGGGACAGCAGGCACAGGAATTCTTAAATGTGCCTAGAATTCTTCTTGGTCACTTGGGATGAGGGAGATGATGTGAACTCAGGAAAGACAAGGCCATCAGGCTGGTAATTCTGTTATCACAGCAGGTCTGGTCTCCCTGGCAACCTGGGGGTTGTTTTCCCTGGGAGAATTATTAAAAAATCCAATTTACCAGGAATTTGGGACATCATCATTTTTACAATTACTCATCCCATATTTGAAGCAGAAACTTGCAGAACTGGCCCAGGAGCAGGACGTGCAGTGGGGAATTGGGAAGCTCCAACCCAGACAGGTCCTTTCGGAGCTGACACTGCACCTACAAGGGCTCGCACCACCACAGGGGCACTGTCCCGGTTTTCCTTTGAGGAACACTTGTCCCGGTCCCATAATTTCCCAAAGAACTTTCCATGGATGGTGGGAGAGCACTGGAACAGCTGCTTAGAGAGTCATGGAGTCTCCCTGTCCTGGCTCCTCGGGATGTGCCCTTTGGGATTGATCCCTGATTCTGCCTGTCCCTCAGGGTGTGCCTGTTGGGATAGATCCCCAATTCCGCCTGTCCCTCAGGATGTGCCCTTTGGGATGGATCCGGTCCCTCAGGATGTGCCCTTTGGGATGGATCCCGTCCCTCAGGCCGTGCCCATTGGGACTGATCCCTGATCCCGATCCCTCCCCTCAGGATGTCGCTGTTGGGATTGATCCCGGATCCCTCCCTCAGGATGCGCTTGCTGGGATCGAATCCCGGATCCGGTCCCTCAGGATGCGGTTGCTGGGATCGATCCCGGATCCCGTCCCTCAGCATGCGGTTGCTGGGATCGATCCCAGATCCCGTCCCTCAGGATGCGGTTGTTGGGATGGATCCCCGATCCCTCCCTCAGGATGCGGTTGCTGGGATCGATCCCAGATCCTTCCTCCCCTCAGGATGCGCTTGCTGGGACCGAATCCCGGATCCGGTCCCTCAGGATGCGGTTGCTGGGATCGATCCCGGATCCCGTCCCTCAGGATGCGGTTGTTGGGATCGATCCCGGATCCCGTCCCTCAGCATGCGGTTGCTGGGATCGATCCCAGATCCTTCCTCCCCTCAGGATGCGGTTGTTCGGATAGAACCCGGATCCCGTCCCTCAGGATGCCGTTGCTGGGATCGATCTCGGATCCCGTCCCTCAGGACGCGGTTGTTGGGATAGATCCCGGATCCCGTCCCTCAGGATGCGGTTGCTGGGACCGACCACCGATCCCTCCTCCCCTCAGGCCGTGCCCATTGGGCGGATCCCGCCCCGCCCCTCCCGGTCACTCCGCGGCTCCTCCCGCGCGCTCTCTCGGTGCGGCGCAGTCTCGCGAGAGCGGCGGCCGAAGATGGCGGCGCGGAGCCGAGGCCCGTGAGGCGCGGGCGGAGCTGCGGCCGCTCCGGGGGCTCCGGGCGGGACCGGCCCCGCGGGCTCCGAGCGCTGCGGGCGCTCCCGCCGGCCATGACCGGCGAGAAGCTCCGCTCGCTGCGCAGGGACCACAAGCCCAGCAAGGAGGACGGGGACCTGCTGGCGGCCGGCGAGGACGAGGCGGCCGCGGCGCCCGGGGGCGCCTTCACGGGCGGGAAGGGCGGGCGGGCCGGGGGGCACCGCGGGCCCGGCGCTCACCGGCACCGCCCGCCGGCCCGGGCCGCCCCCGCCGGGCCCGAGCGCGGCCCCTTCCCCGTGCACGAGTGCGTGTTCAAGGGGGACGTGCGGCGGCTCTCGGCGCTCATCCGCACGCAGGGCATCGCCCAGAAGGACAGTCACGGTGAGCGGGACGCGCCGGGGAACCGGGGCTCGGGGCCGCGTCCCGGCGGGGCGGGAGATGCGAATGCTGCACCGGGAAATCGGGAATTCGTTGGGAGTTTCATAAGGGTGTGTGAATACCCTGTAGGAAGGGTTGTGGACAAGGGATGGAGTGGCTGGCCAAGGGGGATGGCTTCCACTGACAGGAGGCAGGGATGGATGGGATACTGGGAAGGGATTGTTCCCTGGCAGGGTGGGCAGGCCCTGGCACAGCGTGCCCAGAGCAGCCGGGGCTGCCCCTGGATCCCTGGCAGTGCCCAAGGCCAGGCTGGACAGGGCTTGGAGCATCCTGGGATGGTGGAAGATGTCTCTGGCATGGCAGGGATGAGCTTTAAGGTCCATTCCAACCCAAACCATTCCGTAATTCCATGACTTTTGTAATATGAATGAGCACTGTGAGCTCCAGTACCAGCACTGTGCTGGCAGAACTGCCTCTGACTGGGTGTTGCTTTGTGTTCAAGACCCCGCTGCATTTAAAAGATTCGTTCTTTTTTAGGGTGTTTGAGCTGTCACCTGTTTGCTTTGGGGGATGCTGAGCCATTCCTTTGGCTGTTGGCAGAGCAGTTTTTGATATTTCCCCAGGCTACAAAATCAATCCTTTTTTTCCCCTTTCTTTTTAAATGCTGGGTTTTGAGAGAGTTGTTCTCAGCTGCTCCTCTGCAAATGCTCTGTCCACAGCAGTGTCAGTGACAGAGATGGAATCTGATCCTTGTGCTGCTCTGAAATTTGTAAATATTGAATGTCTTGCCAGGACATTTCAAAACGTTTTAATTTGGAGGATATTTTATACTGTTAACAAATAAATCAGCCTGGGGGATCAGTCTGACCTTCATGGTTGGTTCTAATCTCTATTTCAATAGCCGTTTCAAGAGTAACATGATCCATTTCTGCTGGAGAACTCCCAGTTCCACGTGTGTGGTGTCTGAGAAGTTGTGATAAAGAGCAGGCTTGTGTTGTGTTTCTGATAAGGAGATGGGCTCTTCTTCATTGTGGTGTGTAAATTCAAAGGGAGCACGACGGTGAAGGATCTCTGGGGCTGGCACAGGGGCAGGAACGATGGAGTTGGGGATTCCAGCTGTGTCTGTGGTGGCACTGGAAGGCAGCTGGGGGCTGCAGGGTAGCACAGGGCTCAGCTCCCAGCCAGGATGGGCAGGAATGTTCCCTGCAGCTGGCACGGCGCTTTCCCGAGGGCAGAGCTCCAAATCCAGCTACAGATCTGTTTATCCTGCCACCTTCTTTCCAGCAAACCCTGCTAGAATGAAAGCAGCAGACTTGGGGAGGAATTTTCCCACTCTCTCTATTCCTGCTGCTGCTTCTCCCTGTTCCTCCTCCAGTTCCCCTTCAAGCAGCTCAGCAGCAGCAGCTCCAAATCTTTCCTTGAAGGCACTTCCTGATCCCTCTTTGCTGTGCTGTCACCCTCAGTGTGTATCTCACACATTGATTCCATCCTTTTTGGATCCATATATAAATCCCTAATTAAGATCTCCCTGCTTTCCCAGCTCTGTGCAGAGTTGGGACACTTTGGGGATATCTGACTTGTCATCTTCCTCCAAGTTTTTACTTGAACTATTCAAAAAAAAAAAAACCCACAACAAACCTCTTGATGGTTTGACATTCCAAAGGCCTGAGTAACATTTCCCTGTTATTGTTTTCTTCCTGCCTGTTTCCATCTGTCACTTGTTTACACACACTGGAACTGGGAATCATTTAGGGGACACTCCAGCTGATGATTTGCTCAGAAATAAGTCAGAGGAATCCAGGGATGTGCTGAGGATTGGACAGAGGGGAGAGAGAATTTATTGTTAATAATCCAGGCCTGTTTTAGTGTTGGTTCAGTGCAGGAAAGCCAAATCCTGTGGAATGGGAGACTCCTGCTGTTCTGCTAAAAGCAATTGAGTGTTAATTGAGTGCCTCCCCAGCTTCCTAAATTAACCTCCAAATCACAGCCCAGAGGAAGGCCAGTGTCATTATTCCCAAACAATGAGTTTCCTGGGAGAAGCCTGTAGCTACACCTAGTAGATGACTTCCAGCTTTATTATAACATGCATTTAAGAGCTTAAATCCTGAACAGACAAATCCTCTTGCTGGAAAACAGCCCTGGCTCCCTGTGGGTGGGCAGGTACCTCAGCAGAGGAGAAAGGCCACACGTGTGTGGGGACAGGTGCTGTGTTTGAGGTGTGGTGTTGGGCCAGCAGGCTTTGTTTGCCCACCTGGATGGGCACAGGCAGGATTCCAGGAGCTGCTGGAGCACTGGTTTCTTGGGAAAGGGGGCTGTGGCTGTGCTGGGCACTGCTGAGGCCTCACCTCAAACCCTGGGGTCAGTTCTCAGGCCTTCATTCCAAAAAAGACCCTGAGGGGCTGGAGCATGTCTGGGGCAGGAAATGGAACTGGGCAGGGGCTGGAGGGTGTCCAGGAGCTGGGCAGGGGCTGCAGAATCCCTGAGGAGCTGGGCAGGGGCTGCAGAATCCCTGAGGAGCTGGGCAGGGGCTGCAGAATCCCTGAGGAGCTGGGCAGGGGCTGCAGAATCCCTGAGGGAGCTGGGCAGGGGCTGCAGAATCCCTGAGGAGCTGGGCAGGGGCTGCAGAATCCCTGAGGGGCTGGGCAGGGGCTGCAGAATCCCTGAGGGAGCTGGGCAGGGGCTGCAGAATCCCTGAGGAGCTGGGCAGGGGCTGCAGAATCCCTGAGGGAGCTGGGCAGGGGCTGCAGAATCCCTGAGGAGCTGGGCAGGGGCTGCAGAATCCCTGAGGAGCTGGGCAGGGGCTGCAGAATCCCTGAGGAGCTGGGCAGGGGCTGCAGAATCCCTGAGGACCTGGGCAGGGGCTGCAGAATCCCTGAGGAGCTGGGCAGGGGCTGCAGAATCCCTGAGGAGCTGGGCAGGGGCTCAGCCTGGAGCAAAGGAGGCTCAGGGGCCCTTGTGGCTCTGCACAGCTCCTGACAGGAGGGCACAGCCAGGGAACAGGGACAGGAGCAGAGGGAACGGCCCCAAGTTCTGTCAGGGGAGAACTGGGCTGGACACCAGCAGGAATTTCCCCATGGAAAGGGGGATCCACGGAAAGGCCCTGGAACTGCCCAGGGAGGGTTGCAGTGCCCATCCCTGGAGGTGCCCAAGGAAGGGCTGGATGTGGCACCCAGTGCTGGTGACAAGGTGGGAATTGGGCACAGCTTGATGATCCTGCAGGGCTTTTCCACCCTCGCCATTCCTGTGCCTCCGTGATTTTGACAATGTTTCCCCTTGGGTCAGGTAATTGGCATTTCGTGGGCACTCAGTGTGGCTCCCTCTCAAAGGGGCTCCTCAGGAAGGTTATTTGCATCCCCTGGCAGAGCCTGGCAGCATCCAGGACTCCCAGTGCTGTGCTCCCAGATGTTGGAGCAGCTATTAATAGCAGCAGGAGCTGAGCTGGGTTAGTGTATGATGAGCTGGGCTGTGGCTGCCTGGGATGCTGCCAGTGCCCTGCAAGGATGAGATGAGATGCAGGACACCTTGAACAGCCCTGTCAGCCCTCCTGGGCAGGCAGGACACAGCTCCCACCTCCATCCCAATTCCCCTGATGCTGCAGGGTGCTGCCATTCCTGTGGCAGCCTCTCCAGATGTGCAGCACACCCTCTGCACAGAGCAGGTTCTTCCTGCTGGCAAAATGGGAGTTAGAGAACAGCTCTCAACCGAGTGTGTGTGTTAGAATTGCACAAAAAAATTTGTTTTCCAGCATTTTTTTCCTCTTGACTGCTCTAAGAAGATGTTTAAATGTACAAAATACAGTTAAATGGAAGAACTTTACATCCTTAAGCTGCCTGAATAAACGGTGTCATGAGCCTGGTAGCAGCATTAATCCAGGAAAAACAGCTCTGGGTGCCTCACAGTGAATATTTAACAACACAAATGCCACCTGTGTCACGAGCATCGCCAGGAAAATGGGGACAGGTTTGAGAGGCTGCTGATATCCCCAAAGCTTTCTTTGGAAACAGCCAAAAGGCAGCTTTGTAGCGAAGGTGCTGTTCCTTCTCAATATGCCCAGTACTGTAGTTGTAAAAAATGAGTACTCAGTCTTTGAAATATTAATAAAACAGGCTGTTAAATTTTTAATCAGTATCATATCTGTGAGTAGCTTTTAACCCAGATCTGTCAGGCTGGGAAGGGATCAGACCCTTCAGCCTGTGGGGAGCACAGGGGTTGTGTCTTTCTCAAAGACACCTCTGGACCTCTTTGCCTGGAGTGAGTTTCAAGATATCATTAAAAACCCTCTCTTGGCCCATGAAATGTATCTCAATATATTTATTTTGACAACCACAATCCAAGCAAACGTCACTCCTCTGGTGGGTGTTGCTGTGTTCCTGGGTTAGAGCAGGAACTGCAGTTTCCTAAGGAAGGGGTTGCAATGCATTCTGCTAACTTTCATCTCATCTCTTTTATTTCTGTGCTTTCTTGTAGGAAACACTCCTTTACATCTTGCTGTGATGTTGGGACATAAAGGTGGGTAGAACCATTTGTTTTGTTACCTTTTCAGTGATCCTGAAGATTTGGGGGCAAGAGGAAAAAAGGGGTTTTTCCCTTTCCTGAGTGTGATGATGTGTTTCAGGCTAGTGAGGTTTTCTGGGAAGAAGATGCCACATGGATTTGGAGAAGAAGAGTGGGAAAGGAAATCTGAGCTTTATTCCCAGAATTCCACCTAACCCTGCCCTCTGGCAGTGGGAGCCATTCCCCCTTTCCTGTCTCCTCTTGTCCCCAGTCCCTCTGCAGCTCTCCTGGAGCCCCTTCAGGCCCTGGAAAGGCTCTGAGCTCTCCCTGGATCCTTCTCCTGTGCAGCTGAGCACCCCCAGCTCTCCCAGCCTGTTTACTGAACTGGAAATGGAATCTGGCTGGAGATTCCAAGCTGGTTTGCCTGCTCCCTGCAGAGTGATGTTGTTGTCCTGGGCACAGTTTAAGGAGCCATGAAAATCCCTGGGTGTCTTGGCTGGGTTAGTCAGGGCCTTTGTTTATCCCACAGGAGACAGTTTGTTCAGCAGGGAGGGATCTCTTCCTCCCCAGCCACTCAGCCTGCCTGACTCACGGCTGCTGCATCTGGAATGACCAGTGCAGTTTCCTGTGGCACCTGTGGTAGGAAAATAACCCAGGAAGTCCTGTCGTGGTGATGAGACAGCTGGGCCCTGCTGCATCACCTCCAGACGGCTCAGGGTGGCTTTAGTGACATGTGCTGAGGTTTCCTCATGGCTGGAAACTGCAGAACCATTTCCAAGGAGCACATGGGAGCGCTGAAACCCTCCTTGCTTCCTTCAGTTTTCCACCATCATGTCCACCTGTGGATGGGGAATGCAGCTGTTGGTTCCACACCTGCTCTGAGGCTTTCCTGGAGCAGAGGAGCCTGTTTGCCCTCCTTAAATCAGATTCCCCAGGATGTTCTGGCACACAGGGATGTGTTGTTGCCTCAGCCTCCTCTGCCTCCCCCGTACCTGATGGGAGTTGCCCCAAATCCGTATCCCCATGATCCATTCACCCCTTGGAGAGGGATGAAGGCCCTGAAGTATCTCAGGTATCTCTCTGCCTTGTGTGTGCAGCAGAGAGAGCTGATGTCATGCATTAAATATAAATATCCTTGTTCCATGGTGGTGTGTGTATCTGACATGCAGAAATATTATAAAAAGCAAACTCCACGTAGCAGGAGGGACAAGTCTCTTCAGTGTTATATAATTGGTGGCTGATCACCAATTATTTTTAGTGATAATATTGAACAGGGAAGTGCTGGAAGTCCTTGCATAAATGGCTTTGTTTGTTAGAGTGAGTCAGAACCCAGATATGTGTTTTGATAATCTCTGTAATATCTTTGATATGAATTGCTTTGGTGGTTTTATCCTGACTGCTCCTGCTGCATCCTTTACTGTAAATAACTGTGGATATTTTGTTCCAGAATGTGCCCACCTGCTTTTAGCCCATAACGCTCCAGTAAAGGTGAAAAATGCTCAGGGATGGAGCCCTCTGGCCGAAGCCATCAGCTATGGAGACAGACAGATGAGTAAGCACCTCTTCATTCATCCCAGTTTGCCAGTTAATCCCAAATTTGGGCTCATTCAGAGCAGGAAAGCAGAGCTCTCAAGCTGGGTTATTTTCCCACAGCCCTCTTTCAGCTCTCTGAAGGGTTTCTCTTAATCAGCTGAACATTTTATATCTGAACATGATCAGGCACATCCATTTCCTTGATAAGAAATTGCACTGGGTTACATAAGCAAGCTGTTAACTCTGCTCAGACTGAGGGCATTGGGAGAGCTCTGCACGAGCACGTTCTGGGTTTGGAATGGCAGGGACAGGATCCAGATGGATCTGGGCTGGGTGGGATCATCTCCTTGGCCTGCTCCCTGTGGTCACAGGTTTGTTAGTGTATCAGTTGCCAGTGGGATGTGGCTTTTAGGCTGCATCTCAACAGGCCAGAGGGAAAATATAATTTATGTATTATTCAAATATTGTTTATTCACCTCAGACATGGAGTAGCAAAAGGAAATTATTCTGCTGCTACTCACTGGTGGATGTTAATAGTATTCAGTATTACCATGTGTGGTGGTGCATCCTATAGCAGAAAACTCACTATATGTTACACATATAAATGTATTATTAATATATTAATGCACTACTTTATAATCTACCAACAGCATTCTCTTGTCAGCTCCTCACTATTGATTTTCTCGGTGGAGTAGATGTTACTCAGTATATTTGTACCCACATATTTACTAATACCTGTGTACAAACCCTCTTGACATGATTCTATAGTTAATTTTACAAACAATTATTGAGGCTTTCCTTCCTGGGGTGATCTGAGCAGGTTAATGTGCAGTTCCTGTAGCTGGGATTAATTCCTCAGGTCTGATGAAATGTTCCATTGCATTGTTGGGTTTAAGACCCCAAGTAAGACACTCACCTGTAATTACCAAACAACCAGAGTTCATGGATTAATTCCTGTGTAGTTTCAGCACTCCTGAGGAAGCTCAAGCAGCAGTCCAGGGAAAGTGTTGAAGAGAAGCGACCTCGGTTATTAAAAGCCCTGAAAGAGGTGAGTTGTGCTGACAAAACCAGAGGGGTGGAAAGCAGTGACTTGTGCTCTGAGTATGGACACTCTGGAAAACTGCCAGCAAGTTTTTTCCACGTTTTTACCAATCTTCTGCTCTTAAAAGCAATCTTGGCTCTGTTTTAAGGAGTCACAGAATTATATTTATTTTAAGGTAATACTTCCTTTCAACTTCTAGAAATTCGAATACAAGGCTTGTGTAAGGCAGACCTGCTCATCATCATTGCAATTTCAGAGTTAAAGAATCTCTATTTCATTAGATTTTTAAGGCTTTCTTAAATCTTGTGTCAATGAATAATTTCCTGGTGTGTTCAGTCCCCAAACCCCCTTGCCCAGTGCTGGAGGAGATTTTTGGTTTCATTCTCCATCAGCACCCAGCAGCCAGTTCCCCTTGGGTACAGTGAAATGTTGCTCAGTTTGGGGACAGCAGTTTGTAGAAGCCCAGTTATTTATCAGAAGTTCATGAACTTGTCCCTGTGGAGGCTGAGCTGTGCTGTGGTCCCTGAGCCCTCGTGCTGGGGTGGCTCTGGCTCACACGTGCTCTGACCTGATGACTTCAGCACATTTCCACGAGGCCACTGGCAATTGGTCTTTGCAACACTCCTGCCTGAAACTTGACTCATTAATTATTGTATAATTAGTTCTAATTCCGTGGGATTGGATGGGATCAATCAAAGCAAGCAGAGAGCTCCATAGGTGCTTTTTAAATTGTTTCCAATAAATCTTTTGCAATGCAGGGCTTGATAGTTGACCTAGTATTAAGAAATGATTAAAAATGTGAGTTCAGATGAGTTACATCATTTTGTCATTATTGATTCTGCTGCGGCTAAAGCTTCAGTGATGTTTAAGTTCAGTACAAATTCAAGTACAACATTAGAGAAAGTTTTCTTTGCCAAACTTCTGCCTGTCTTCCAGCAAATTTTACAGTCATTTAGCCTGAAAAGCTTGTTAACACATTCTTCTCTTCTTCTCAGCTAGGTGACTTCTATCTAGAGCTTCACTGGGATTTTCAAAGTTGGGGTGAGTGCTTCCATGTCCCTTCCCCAGGGAGATAATGCAATCAGCCTGCAGCACACTTGTCCTGTGCTTTGTGCTGGAGCAGCCGCAGTGCTTGGGATCTCAGTGCTGAGGAAAGGACACACAACATTTTCCAGATTTAGTTTTGCTTATTCACTTTTGGAGCTGAATTCTCTTCTCCAGTGACTCACTAAGGAGGGGAAGTAGCTCTTTGCTTTAAGAACCTGGGTGGGATGGGGATGATCCTTAAGGTCCCCCCCAATCCAAACCAGTCTGGACTTCCATGATTTTATGTGTTTTATTAATTTAATAATTAATATTAATACCTTGGATCATTTTTATGCTTGTGGCTGTTCTGCTTTAATTGGAACCAGGCTTTCTTTCCCTTGGTGCATTAGATAAAATGTTAAATCCCAGAATTCAAACTATGAACAGCCACAGTTATTAGGATTTATAAATGGTTTACCTGTGATGGAAATACAAATTCTGATATTGGAAGCAGGGTGTGCAATTACAATTACAAAAAAAATCAATTTTATCAAATAGAAATACCCCTGATGTTGTGTTTGATTGAGATGTTGGAAAATGCTGTATTTGCATTAAAACACATCCAGAATCAAACTGATGGAATAGTTTTAGTGGGAATGCTTTGCAGAGGGATCTCAGTGCCTTGATTGCCTTTTCTCTCCCTCCTTTAGTGCCTTTACTTTCCCGAATTCTGCCTTCTGATGCATGTAAAATACACAAACAAGGTATAAATATCAGGTGAGTGCTGCTTTTGTACCCAAATACTTCAGTGCCAGGGAAAAGCTGAATCCCTGAGGAGCCTGGGCTCATCCACGACACAGCACTGAGCCTTGCAATTTCAGGCTCTCTGATTATCTCTGTTGAGCTGAATATAACTTAAATATAGAGCAAGAGCAGTTCAGCTGGATAAGGCTTTATCTACCAGATGTGCCAGTGAAAAACAGGGATTGGGTATTTATAACACAATTGCAAATAAATTCCAGTATTTCCTGGAGAAGTGTTGCTGCTCCAGTCTCTACTTTAAAAAAAAAAAAAAAAACCAACACAAAAAGTGATATAATTTCTGTCTTTAAGGTGTTTAATGTGACAAATTCACAAACTCAGTAGGGGATTTCAGGAGCCTCTCCAAGCTCAACTCTTTTTAGTTTGGAACCAAATGTGTTTTCTGGCATTTTCTTTAGGGCCCAAAATTTAAAACAGAGAGGCAAGAATATGATCCTGGAGATTCAATCTGTAGAAATTTTTGTTGTAATAAAGGGGAAGCTTGGGTCTGTAAAGTGAATTTTTAGGTGAAGTTTGAGTCTGGGAGTGTTGCTTTCCTTCTCATTTCTGAATGCTGTGCCTGTATGAGGCATGAACTGAGGGGAAATAGATAAATACAGGTTTTTCCTTGGAATCAGAGGCAAATCTATGAGGAGTTTTAATCCCTCACCACTTAGAGTTGAAGTTACCCAGCTGAGGTTCTTTAACCACCTCTTTATGAGAAATAAATGCTCTGGCAATAGTGGACATGAATTACTACAGACATCCATGGCCTCAGCTCCATCTTCTTCCAGTTACTCAGGTCTGCAGGAGCATGTCTTTGGTGTTGGTGAGGGAGAAAAATAGAAATAGCAATGAAAATAAATAAAATTTTAAAAAGAGTTTCTGAGTCCTCTTCACATTTTGGGTCATGTCCCAGTGTTGTTATTCAAGTCAGGACCCTGCTGAGGAGTTGTTTCTCAGTGTATAGCACTGAATAGAATCTATCCCCCTTCCCTCCTCATGCTGGCAGTGTTAAATACAACTTTCTGAAGAAAACTTTACCTTTATAGCAATTTTTTGATGATTTCTGCATTGAGGCCTCACTTACGAAATCCTATGAAAATTCAGCCCTTTATGTGTTTGTTTGCCATTAAAAAAATGCACTTTCCCGCTTGAAAGCTGAATTTCCTCCTGCGTTTATGGGTAATTTTTGTGACATTTGGGGTTGTTTTCACAGGCTGGACACAACTCTGATAGACTTTACTGACATGAAGTGCCAACGAGGGGATTTAAGCTTCATTTTTAACGGTGACGCCGCACCCTCCGAATCTTTTGTAGTTTTAGACAATGAGCAAAAAGTTTACCAGCGAATACACCACGAGGTAAAGCTCTGGGCAGGGGGTGGGACACATCCCGGCCTTTTTTGGGAATGTGTCAAACAAAATTTGCCTCAGAAACACCCAAAGAGCTGCAAAGCAAAGAATTTTTACCTCAGTTGTTCCAACTTGAGCTGTGAAGGTGAAATTGAATTTTGTGAGGGAAGCCAGCTTTGAATCCAGATTTCTGGTTAAGGAGAAGCTGGAATGGGAATAGACTGGAAAGATGTGGTTTAAATTGTGATGTGCTGCTTTTCATCTTTCCACTGGGCTCAACTCAGGTGTCCTCAGGTGGGTTTTCAGACCTGTTCCCTCTGCTTTGCATCCTTTTAGTCACTCCATGGCCAGTTCAGCTGATAACAGCGTGAGGATCTGACTCACTGGACCCCCTGTAATTAGTCAAGTCTTTAATTACAGCTTTATCCCCCAATCACTTAAGCAGATGGATTATTGACTGTGGAAAGGGTGTGGCTGCTGAGCTGCTGCATAAATCCCATTGGGATGCTTTATTCACATTAATATTCAAGATTAAACTATTTGGAAACCATTTGGCCAGAGGTTTTATAAAACCGCTTGAAAATGCAGGAAATGCTGCTTCTGGGAAAAGATCCAAAGGACAAGGCTTATGCATTTGTGTTTATTGGTGTATCTTTGGAGGAAGCAATCGTTGTTTGGTGAGTTCTGCTGAGTATTTTGGAATTTTTCTTCCAGGAATCTGAGATGGAGACAGAAGAGGAGGTTGACATTTTGATGAGCAGTGATATTTACTCTGCCACCTTATCCACCAAGTCCATCACGTTCACACGGGCTCAGACTGGGTGGCTCTTCAGGGAGGACAAAACTGTGAGTGAGGGGAGCTCAGAGCTGCTGCTGGGCAGGAGGGAGGAGGGAAAGGCACTGCAGGAAGCACTGGGGCAGATTCCTGGAGAAACTCTGGCTGCCCTGGATCCCTGGCAGTGCCCAAGGCCAGGCTGGACAGGGCTTGGAGCAGCCTGGGATGGTGGAAGGTGTCCCTGCCATGGCAGGGAGCTGGAATGGGGTGAGCTTTGAGGTCCCTTGTGGCCCAAACCAATCCAGGATTCTGAAAGGACAAGGTGTGCAGGACAAAGGAAAAATCCCTGTCCCTGTATCCCCAGTTTGCACAGGTTCATTCCATGTGGAATCTCTCTGCTGGACTGCCTTCAGCAGGAAAAACAAGGAAGAAGGATTCTGTAGCTGTTGGGCAGGGGGAGGACAGATTGTGCTTGTGCTGGGAATGGTTTTGTTCCAGGAGACTCTGATCTCTGCAGGTTGGTTCCAGGGAGTGCAGGAAGGGTTTTGTGTGTCCCTGCAGGAGAAGGGCAGGGATGGGAGTGCTCTGGAAAGGGATTTCACTCAAATTATTCAACTATCTCTGTCTTAAAGCTTCCCTGCATAAGAAGTACCTGTTCCTGCTGGATTTTTGGGATTGCCCAATGCCAGCCCATGTAGGGGGCTGGAGGAATTCCAGCTCAATCCCCAGGTTCCCTTATTGCCATTATTTGATAGGCAAGAATCAAAATGTTTGTATTTTATCTTCTGTGAGTCATTAATGTCCAAATTCCTTTCATGCAGGAAAGAGTAGGAAACTTCCTGGCAGATTTCTACTTGGTGAATGGACTGGTGTTGGAATCCAGGAAAAGAAGGGAACATCTCAGTGAGGAGGACATCCTTCGGAATAAAGCGATCATGGAGAGCCTGAGCAAAGGGGGAAACCTCATGGAGCAGAATTTTGAGGTACAGTTGATTAACTTTGAGGTGTAGTTGATTAACTTTGCCCAGGATGTGGGAGAATAATCTTGCACACCACTCCTCGTGGTGCAAAATACATAGATAATGTTTTTATTTTCTTTTGATTGGCATAATCTAAAAATCACAAACATGACCCACAAGTGTAATTTTGGTGATGCATTAATGAATTAGCCTGATTAGTGCACACAGGGAGGGATTTCTGTGGTTACATTGGGTATTCAGCCTTAATTTGTCTCTTAGAAGAGATGAGGGGTTTGGCTGTGGCAAATCAACTGCGGATTCTTTTAGACCCAATGCTGATTGTTGGGAATGAAAGGGAAGCCAGAAAGGCAATCGTGCTCCTTTGAGCTTCATTAAAATGGGAGGAAGCCTGTGATTAGCACCAGGAAATCAAGAGCTCTTCAGAAAGAGCCAGGCTTCAGCTGGGAGCACACACAGAGCTTTTAAAGTGATTAATTTATTTCTGTGTGAGCTGGAGCTGCTGCCTTGGCACTCAGAGCCCCGAATTAACTCATTATGATGGAGCAGCACAGCCCAGTCCTGCAGGAGGTGCCCGTGGGGGCTGAGAGCAGGGGCTGGCTGAGCAGGGCGGGCTGTGGCCGTGTTTGGAGCGGGGGGCAGCTCCAGGTGGGAATGGCAGCAGGAGGGGAGCGGGGCAGGGGCTCTGAGCTGAGCTGTGCTTGTCCCGCAGCCCGTGCGCCGGCAGTCGCTGACGCCGCCGTCCCCCAACACCATCTCCTGGGAGGAGTACATCTCTGCAGAGAGTGGCAAGTGAGTGCTGCTGGGCCTGCCAGGGCTTCCAGGGACCCCTCTGCATCCCTGGCAGGGGCTGGGGGTCTCTGGGGGCTTTGGGTTCTCCGCTTGGTGGGTGCTGCTTGTGGGGAGGGAGGAGCGCTGGGTTTGGTGTCTCGGTGTTTGTTCTCCAGAGGGCTGGGAAGGGATCCTTGTGTGTGTCAGTGCCTCAGCTACAGGCAGGGAATCCTGGGATGCTCTGGGCTGGAAGGGACCCTAAAGCCCATCCAGTTCCACCCCTGCCATGGGCATTTCTGGGTAGTGGTTAATAAACACTTCCTGTAGGGTTTATTAACACTGTGTTTATGAGGAATTATTTTATTGGAGTAGTTTTCCTGGTTTTGTCTTGTCTCCTGGTTTAGCAGAGTAATCTAATTTAGGAGGTTTTTTGTCTATATTCTGCACAGCTTTACAATAAAGCAAACCCTTTGAAAGTAAGGATTCCTCCCTGATGTTTTCCGACCCAAGTCTGTTTTCCTTCCTCTAAATTCAGGATTGCCCTGGGAAACACTGACTTTGTCTCTCCCTCTCCCTCACAGAGCTCCTCACCTGGGCAGGGAGCTGGTCTGCAAGGAGAGCAAGAAAACCTTCAAAGCCACGATAGCAATGAGCCAGGAATTCCCCTTAGGAATCGAATCGTGAGTCAAAGCTCCTGGCCACGGGAGTTATTCCTGTTGGGAATGTTGTAACGTGTTCATGAGCTGCAGAAAGAACCCTCCAGATCCCCAGGAGTGGGAGTGCAGTCAGGCTGTTGAGCAAGGAATCCCTTTAACTGGGAATCTGGAGCTGCTGGGCTGGGGAAGAGCCAAGCCCTTACCTGGCTTGATAAGAGCAGAGTTTTGGGTAGGATTATCAGCAGCTGGTGTCTGATCCCACAGAATTCTGAAATGGTTTTCCCCGTAATAAATTTTAGCACAAAATTGTGACCCCTAACCCAGTGCAAAGCCAGGTCAGTTCCACATGTCCATGGAGAAGGAGGGTGGTACCTCATCCCTCATCTCCTGTGGAAAATGAGGATAAAGAACTGCAATCCTGGTGTTGGTTTGTTGTAATTCTGGATGTGGGGTGACCCCGACGCCCTGGGATGGAGAAGGGGGATGCTGTCATTGTCACCCTGTGTGTCCCCTGGGCCCTTTGGGTCACGTTTTCCTGTCCAGAGGGACAGGGTGTGTGTGGCAGGAGGATCTGTCACGGGCTCTGCTCTCCTTTGCAGGTTGTTGAATGTCTTAGAAGTCATTGCACCCTTCAAGCACTTTAACAAACTTAGAGAATTTGTTCAAATGAAGCTTCCACCAGGCTTTCCTGTCAAATTAGGTAAGAGCACACAGCAGCTCCTGGGACTTTATTTATCCAGAGTTTTAGGTTGAAAAAGCCCTCTCAGTCCAACCATTCCCCAGCACTGCCAAAGCCACCATTGCCTCATGTGCCCCAGTGCCACATCTACACAGCTTTGAAATCTCTTCAGGCATGGGGATGCTGGAAAACCCTTTCCAAGAGAAATTTTCCCAAATATCCAATCCAGATCTAAACATGTGCATTTATTCTTGCAATATGTTCAGAAGGTTTTTTGTGGAGTTTTGGGGAGGAACCCTCACCTAGGGATGTGTTACTGAGAGCTCAGGAGCACAGAAGTGCTGGGGCCTTGCTCCAAGGGCAGTGGGATGTGCTGGATTATTCCTGCACTAGGGGAGGATCTCAGGTGTGGAGTATTTTGTAACATTCCTGTGTTTGCTTTTCTTCAGGGATTACTGGGGATAGATTGATTTTAAGTGAAAAATAGAAAACTGTTGCATTTGTAACAGATGGAAATGTCTGAGGTCAGCTTATTCATGGGATAGATGATCCCAGAAGCAGTAGGCCCTTTCCTAAGGGTGCAGGGTTCTGGAGTTGCAGGGAGCTGTGTGGGCAGGTAGGCTGTGCTCTACCTCTGCCACGTTTGCACAGGATTCCAGAGCACTTTGGGTTGGGAATGACCTCAGATTCCAGCTCGTGCTCCCACTCCCACGGCAGGGACACCTCCCACTATAACCCAGCTGCTCCCAGCCTGGCAGGGGTGGGGACTGGTGGCACTCTGGCTGTCCCTGAGCGTGCCCTGTCCCCGCAGACATCCCGGTGTTCCCCACCATCACGGCCACTGTGACGTTCCAGGAGTTCCGCTACGACGAGTTCGATGACTCCATCTTCACCGTTCCCGACGACTACAAGGAGGATCCCAGCCGCTTCCCGGACCTCTAGGGGGGCTGGGAGCTCCCGGGAGCACCAGCCCGGCGTCCCAGGGCCGGGGCAGGGCCGTGGGGCACAGCAAGGGATGGACTCGTGAGCCCGCGGCCGAGGGACGGAGCTGGCGCCGCACCGGGCACCAGCCCCTCCAGCTCCCGCCTCCCAGGGCCTCCTGCTGCCACCCCCTCTGGCACAGCCGCTCCTGGCTCGGAGCTGCCGCCCCAGCTGGGAGGAGCTGCTGGTTTTTAAATTTTTTACACTTGTGGTGATCCGCCAGGCGCTGCTGGACCTTGGCACCGAGCTGGGCTGGGGCGAGGTGAGCCCCCTGTCCCTCCCCTGCTCCCTGAGCCGCCAGCTCAGGCACGGAATGTTGGAAGGTATCCTGGGGGAATGCCTTGGCTGTAGGTGAATGAACCAAATGGGCACCACTGACACTTGGATCTCCTGCTGCACCCAGGCAGAGCCAGCTGTGCTCTGCAGGGAGCGAGGCACCTGGGCAGCGCCGGCCCAGCCTGCTGCTGTCCCTGCCTGGTCCCTCCCTTCCCCTTCCCTCCCTGCTCCCTGCCTGGCTCCCTGGGAGCACTCCGGGGCTGCCTGGCCAGGAATGTCACTTGTTGTTAGTCCTTTATTTGGGCCTCGCCTGGGAGAGGTGTCCCCGAGAGGCCGAGCGCCGCCAGGTCAGTGTGTGGGAGCTGGGAGGGGCTCAGGCATTGCCCCTCCCTGCAGGAGCAGCTCTCCCTGCACTCGGGGCCACCCTGGTGCTCACGGGCAGCGTGGGCTGCTCCCACATTCGTTCCCTGCCTCTTGGTGTTTAAATCACAGAGAATCGCAGACTGGTGTGGGGTGGGGGGACCTTAAAGCTCGTCTTGTGCAGCCCCCCTTCATGGATGGTTCAGTACTCCAGCTCCTCGAGCTTATTCCCATTCCCAGTTGTTCCAGTCTCCTCATCTAACAATAATCCACCTTTTTGGGGTTTGTTAGGCAAGATTTGTGCAGAAGGCTGATGGTGCTATTTGTTTGTATGAAGAAATTTAGATTCGAGTGCTGTGGTGTCATTGTACAAAAATGTAAATATTTTCCAAATTATATTCTTTGTGCACTGTAGGTAAAACTTTTTCTGGAATTCCATAGAGTTAAGGATCAAAGTTTATAATGAAGAGGATCATTGATGCTCAGTGGAGGGAACAGCTGTGCTGAGCACAAGGGACAAGGAAGGGGCTCAGCACAGGGCAAGGTGTCAGGCACACCTGAGAGCAGGGAATTCCAAACTGCTGGAATCTCTGGTCCATCCCAAAGAGGCTGCTCTGGGGAGGGACAGAGAGGAGGCCCAGGGAAGCACTGTCAGCAAAGTGCAGGAGCACTGCAGTGGGAGGGTGGGGTTGGTCCTTTCCCAGCTCCTCTGTGGACCTGGGGAACAGGGGAGCACTGGGGCAGGGGAGCACTGGGACAGGGGAGCAGTGCAGCTTTGTTGTCAGTTCAACCTCAAATCCAAAATGAAACTTTAGGGAAAACAAGCAAAGGGAAACGACTCCTGCAGTGCCGTGTCAGGGCGGGTGTGGAGCATCCTCTGGGAATGATGGAACTTGTTCTCCCGAGTCATGATGAATTCCTGACGTGCTTCACACCTCTGGGATGAACTGGCACCGTCTGTGCTGCTCCTGGGAGCCGGGTGGGGTCCTCTGGGACAGACTGGGGGTGTCTGTGGGGCTGAGCTGGAGCTTGGATCGGTGCCCGTGGGGCAGCACAGGGCTCTGTCCCCTCCAGGGCTCCCTTTGGGGTGTTTTGTGTAGCTGCAGGACCTGTGCCAGGTGCCTTACAGGGCACCCCCTTCCTTGGCAATTCCAGTGGTGAGAGGTTCCTGCCCGAGGTGAATGTCAGAGCTCCCTTTGCTCAGTGGTACAGGGACATCCATGGCTTTGTGTCCTTTGCATTTTTGCTCATCCCAAATCCATCCCTGGCTCCGTGGAAGCGTTGCTGGGGCTGTGGGGCCTGGGCAGTGCAGCCACTGCTGGATCCCAGGGGGGATCCTGGCCTTGGAACTGGAAAACAAAAAGGGTTTGGGTGGCCCCCTGTGGGATTGAGGCTGCTGTGGCTCTGTCCCCTCTGGACAGCCCCTGGTGGCCGCAGGGTGTGTGCCCAAAGCCCAGGGCAGGTCCTGGAAGTGTTTCCTGTGGTTCCTGTGGCCTCTGGCTGCAGACCTGGGGGATTTTCACCCCCAGACAGGGCTGCTCCCTGAGACACTTCCAGGGGCTGCAGGAAGCTGCTCCTGAGGCTTGTTCTGCCCTGGAATGTGGGCACAGCTTGGGGCTGTCCTTGTGCTGGGTTATCCCAGGAACTCCAGCTGCTCCTGCTCTCCCTGTGGAGCTGAGGGATGGCAATTCCCTGCATTGTCCCCAGCTCCCAGGGCAGCCCCTGGGCTCCCAGAGCTGCCCTCAGTGCTTGTCCCTCCTCCTGGGATGTGTTTCCTGTCTGAACATTCCTGGTGAGGAGTTCTCACAGTAGGGACACCTGGGCATTCCCGATGGATGCACCGCAGGAATTCTCAGTCAGAGGGACACTGGGCTGAGCCTGTGCATCCCGAGGGGCTGCCCACGTTGAGATCCATGTTTATATCCATGTTTTCTCCACTGTTTTTGTCACTGGGTGGTGTTGCATGGACACAGGGAATGTTTGTGGGCCCGGATGTGTGTCCAGGGTGTTCCCAGCCCCAGCCTGGGGCACAGGGTCCCTCCCCTGTCCCGTGGCTCTGGGAAATTCCTTTTCCAGGCAGCATTGATCCAGCAGAGCCTCACCTGGGCTTTGCCCGTTTTCCTGGAGGCCAGGCCAGGTGTTCAGGAGGGTTTGGTCCCTGGAAGCGAGCACAGATCCATGGATGGTGTCTGTGCAGCAGCTCCAGCTCGTCCCTGTGGCCTGGGAATGTCGGGGCACCAGGAGCAGCCCTGGATGCCCCAGCTGGAGTCGGCGTCCAGGGCAGGAGGAGAAGGGAGCTGGACCTGGTGGGAATCACATCCTGCTGCTCCTGCCCAGGCTGGGGCTCCCCTCCCGCCACTTCTTTTTTTCCTGAGGATTTTTATGGCTCTTAAAAGACAACCAGGAATTTTGCTCAACCCAATTCCGACCTCACCGCGGAAGGATCCCGCGGGTCGTTTCAGAACCAAACTGTTCCTCTGGTCTTCCAAGCTCCTGCTCTGTCCCGTGGCAAAGGGAACACCCTGGATTTCCTCTCCGGAGCTGCTGTCCAGGCACTGCACTCCCAGCACAGCAATTCCTGTTCCTGCGTTGAGTCCGTTCGTCCCTCCCGGGTGTGTTTGTGCTGGAATCCCCCGGCATTCCCACAGCCCTCTGTTATTTTCTGTCTCTGCTCCTGAGTTGTAATTCCCGCCAGGAGAACTGCGTTATTTAATCCGGATTAACCAATTCCTGTAATGCTGCAGTTTCACTTTTCTGTTCCTGACAGTTTGTAACTCCCATGGAAAACGAGTCACCTCTCTTGGTTTTCCTGTCGTCCGCTCCCTGGTTTTCCCTTCCCTTCACTCATAGTCACTTTGGTTTGTATCATTGTTAGAATAAAGACCAAACTATGCTGTTGGATTTGGAAGCTGCTCCACCTGTGCAATCCAGGCTTCCCTCTCCTGTCCCGCCGGGCCTCGGCTGCGCTGCGGGAGCGGGACCGGAGGGGAGGGAACGAGCTCCTGCTGCTGCGTTCTGCAAGGGCATTTTCTTGGTCATTTTTTAAATAAAATCCTGCATTTTCATTACAGCCTCCTCTCGGCCCTCTCTCAATCCCAGGTTTTACGGGGAAAGGATGCAGGAGCAGTTCCCAGCCTCACCCGGAGCTGAGGGAGCAGGTTGGGAACAGCTGCCCGGGAGGGAGGGAGGGGGGAAAAGGAGCCTGGAATTCACTGAACTCTGTTCGGTCCTTCCAGAGGTTTCAGCTCCTCCATCCAGGAACGGCCTCCCCTGGATCACAGGCTGGACAGTTCTGGGGGAAAGGAGAGCAAAGCCCGGATGGCCATGGAGGCTTGGAGGGGATTTTTGGTTTGGTACTTTGGCTTTGAGGGAGACCATTTGGGGGGTTTGGGTTCTTCCGGGTTTTCTGTTTTTTGAGGGAGGGCTGGGGGCTTCTTTTTGGGAGGGAAGGGGGGGTTTGGAGAGATAGGTTTGGGGCTATTAAGTTTTTTAATTTAGCCTTGCTCTCCTGCCCCCAGCATCAGCCCCTGAGCTGAGAGGGATCAGGGCCTCCCTCTGCAGGTACAGAGCTGCTGATGGAAAATCTCCTGTTTCTAAAGGGGCAGGAAAACTTCTCAGAAGGGCTCCAGCCACTGCCAATTAAAGAGTTTTCGTAACTGCAGTGGCTGGAGCTCCCTGCCAGGCAGGGTCTCCCCAGAGCTTCTCTTGCTTTTCATCCACCAGCAGTCCCAGCTCCTTCTCAGCAGTCCCATAAACCTCCACATTCCCATTTTAACCCATTTCCCCCCGGAAAAGTAAAATTCCTTCTTCACTGTAACAGAGATGGAAAAGTCCCCTGTAAGGAATGAGGTAAAGTTTGGTGCATCCAGCAGTGGAAATAAAACCCAGGAGTTTTCTAGGAAGAGGAGGTGAAGTTTCAGGGTTTTATTATCAAAGTTTTGTAAAACATTTTCCGAAACTGTACATCGACATGGCACAGACTGTCGGCTACTTTTGTCTCTTTACCTGCACAAAAGTAAAAGCTCTGGAGCTGCTGGAACTAAGGAACAGCTTTGGGTAACTACTCTGCAAATACCATGGGATCACCGAGTGCGGGAGGGAGGGAATGGCCGGGACAGGAACACAAATTTATCCGTTTGTACAACTTGAGATCAAGTAAAAAGTACATTATCAATGGACTTGCTTTAAAAACAGACCAAGGTCATTTTAAAATGCACTCCCTGCTGCAGCGGGTGAGCTCCTGAGCCCCAGCCCTGGGCGAGGCTGCTCCCCAACCCTCCCTCACTGGGCACGGCCAGGATTCCCCCTCCCGAGGTCTGAACGGACACAGTGGAGACAGAGCCCTCAGGAGGGTCAGGGCACAGAACCCTGGGCAAAGCCAACCAAAACCCACCGGAAAGCAAACCCAACCAAGCCCAGCACGTGGCTTAAAACCAGAACTAAAGCCAAGAGCACAAAGAGCTGGTGCGATCCAAGGCCGACCCCTCGGTGGCTGCAGGACAGGAGGGCTGTGCCACGCTCCCCGGGCATTCCCACAGGACAGGGGGCTGTGCCACACTCCCCACACCCCTGGGACACTGCCACACTGCCGGCTCAGCCGGGACACTCCGGAGGGAGGGAGGGAAGCAGGGAGGGAGGGAGGGAGGAGGGGTGGCCCAGCCCGTGCTGTGGGAGGGACGTGCGGGCTGGCCCGGCCCCAGCTGGGCCCCGGAGCAGGGGATCCCTGTCTCAAGCTTTGGGTGTGAGTTAGTATCGGGATGGACAGACCATGGAGAGCTCGGAGCTGGATACATCTAGGTTGAGGATTAACAAGTACAGCATAAAGGATCACACTGAGGGGCTGCGGGCGGCTCAGTCGCTCATGTCCATGTCCTCCTCGTGGTGGTCGTCCCCGTTCACCTTGGACTCCCTGCCCGGATCCCCGCTGCCCTTCTCGGCCGCGGGCTCCTTCCCTTTGGGGGAGGGAGCGTCCGCCACCTTCTTCTCCTCCTTCTTCTCCTTCTCGCTGTCGTAGCCCTGTTCCTCCTCGTCGTAGTCCCTTGTGACCTGCTTTGCCAGGGAAAGGGACACGTTAGCACTTCCCTGTGGGCCGGGCCGGGGGGGGGGGGGATGTGGGGCAGGGCTGGGAGCAGCCCCAGGGCTTTTTGGAACATACTTTCACATCCTTGTCGCTCTCGGATTTCCGGTCTCGATCCTTCTCCTTGTCTTTGCTCTTCTTTTTCTTGCTTGTTGACCGCTCCCTCTCGTCTCTGCTCCTCTCCTTGTCTTTGTCCTTCTTCTTTTCCTTTTTATGCCTATGAGGATCAGCAGGAAGAGGATGAGGCCCATCCCCATCACCCCATTCCACAGCTGGAACTGTGTCCAGAGCGTTACCCACAGCAAACCCAAAGGAAAATGGCAGAGGGCAAGTAGGGAACAGGCTCTGCTTCCAGGAAATGCCCAAAATCCCAAATGCTTAGCTCTGGCTCAAGGACAACAGCACAAAGCCAAGGCTGAGCAATGCTGTGGCAAACAGAACCATGGAATCTCCTGAGCTGAAGGGCCCCACGGGGATCATGGAGTCCAAATCCTGGACACCAAGAACAGCGGTGCTCCAGTGTTTTACAGAGGAGCACCCTGAGCTCCCCATCCTGGGACAGGGTCACAGAACACCCAGGACACCCAAAATCAGCTGATTCCTACTGTGCAGAGCCAAAGGGGCTGGGAATGGTGGCACATCTACTCATATCACCCCTGGAACCCCTGACCCTTGGAGCTCCCTGCCAACCCCAGAGCAGTTCGGCAAAAGCAGCAAAGATTCCCCCACACAGAATCCCTGGAGGTCACAATTTGGGAATTTCCCACCCAGACACCATTGTTCCCAGCCAAGTGCTTCCCTGACCTTCTGGGCGACGGCGACCGGGACATTTTCCGTTTGGGAGACCTGGGCTTTTTCGGGGACCGTGTCCCACTCCGGCTCCGCCGGCGCCGCCGCTCTCTGCAGGGAGACACAGGAGCTTTGCAAATCTCTGCTGATTTTTTTACAGCTGCAAATACATCTCTAACTTCAACCCTAGCCCTGTTCACAGGGCTACGCTGGATTAACAACTAAAGAGTCGTTAAAACTGCAAGCTAAATTTGGAAATTTTTTTTTAAATGAAACATTTTTGCCTGGATTTATTCCCTAAATGAGGAAGAGCTTCGCAGAGACCCTGGAGCATCAAACTCTGACACAGAGCAAGGAAAACTGTTCTAAGCCTAAAGAATTTACCTCAGACACTGCAGGAAAATGCAAGTATCAATAGACACAGGTGGTAGAGGTGCTGTTGTGCCTGTACCAGACATATCCTCATTGGAACCATGATCCAATGGGATCCAGGCATAGTTTGGGGTGGAAGGGACCTCAAAGCCCAGCTCCTTCCATGGGCAGGGACACCTTCCACACACCAGCTGCTCTATCACAAGAACATTTTTTTCTATTTAATACTGAAGTGCATCAAATCCTGCTGGGAGCAGAGAGCAAGGAAAATCCCATTTCTGTACCTGCTTGTGCTTCTGGATCTTCTGGTTGTGCTGTAGCTTTTGGGGGGAGTTTTAGAACGTTTCTTTTCTTTCTCTTCCTTCTTTTTATCCCTTTTAGTAGAAAAGAGATTAAGTCACTTTCAAACAGCACTTCCTAATCTGCTGTCCAGGGAAAGGGATGCAGAGCTGGAGGGGCAGGGGTGGCTCCCCAGGCTGAGCCCCCCAGGTGCTCCAGCCCCTCCATGTCCTCTCTGAGCTGCGGGGACACAGCCCCGTGGGGACCCAGCAGTGCCAGCACAGGGCACAGTCCCTGCCCTGCTCAGGACTGGACTCCCTGGAGTCATTACCTGGTTTTGGATGTGCTCCGAGACCTCCTGCTCCTCTCTCTGGAATGAGATCTCCTTCTCCTCGGACTTTTGGATCGCCTCCTGCTTCTGGATTTGGAATGGGACCTTCTCCTTGACCTGCTCCTGGAGCGTCTGCCAGGGACAACCAACGTGGAGTCACAGGGAGGAGATCCTGGCACTGCTCCCAGCCCGGAACCCCCAAACCCAACCACGGCCTCCATCCGCAGCCCAGCCTGGCCTGCCAGGAGCTCTGCACACTGAAATGGCAATGAAGCTCTGGAGCCCCAAATCAAACCCAAGGCTCTTCCCAAGGATGATTTTTGCAGGAATTGTTCCAGCTGTGTTGCTAAGGAACTGCTCAGTCACCTGTGTCTGGATGAGGAAGGTGTCCTCCTCCTCCTCGAGCGCGACCTCGACCTCGAATGTCTTCGCTTTTCATCTTTTTTGTCTGGATAAGGAAAAGCAGAATAAAAACCAATGTTTTATTTTAATATTCAAAAAGATTTTCTAAAGGAAAGGACCCTGAGCTTCATGTAATTGATATAAATCAACCTGATCTTGCCATCTGACATGAAGGCTCATCTATAATTTTCTTCACAGGAAGACAAAAGGAACCAACAGAGGACGGGGACATGTTTGTGACATATAATAAGTTTTATGCAAAACTGGAGAAGTCAAAATTCAGAAAAAATCTTAAGTCAGTGAAAAGCTGATGACCGCAGGGCAATGGAAAATCCTGTGAAAATCCCAGAATCTGCCATTTCCTGAGGGGCTGAAGAACCTGTCAAATGGTTATTTTGAATTTCCCACAAAAAAGTCTCAAGCTAAGCAAGAACAGGAGCTCTGTTCTTTCCTAGAAATCATCAGGATGCTGCAGGACTGATGAATATTCTGTATTTTCAGTGTTCAAGTTTCTGCCTCTCAGATTTGGTGGCTCTGACAATTGTGAGAGCTGCTTGTCCTATAATCAAACCTGCTGAAAGAAGCTCCAAAAAGGAACTATTTACAAACCTCCCAGATTAGGAATGAAGATTAAGGAAAGCATCCCTGAGAAACATCAGCAGGGTGCCAAGTGGGGAGGCCAGGAAATGCACATTCCCTTGGAATTCGAGGCAGCAGCAAGAACTTCCCCCAGGGAAGCCTGGGTGTTTTATAGCCTTCAAATCAGTGAATTTTGGGAAATCAATGGATTAATTCCAACCCATTTCTGCAGGAAATGGAGCATCCACTGCAGGATGATTAAAAACCTCCTAAAGGAATTCCCCACAGAGCACAGGCACGAAGGCAGGGCTCTGCAGAGCACCAGTTTTGCTCAGTGCAGTGTCCAGGCCCCGTGCTGGCTGGAATGGCCCATTCCAGGCTGGGATTACCTGGCTCTATAGCAGCAGAGATTAGGGACTGTGCTTCTCGGACTCTCTTCATGGCCTCTTCTATTTCTTTACTGGAGGTATCTGATTTCAGACTGGGGGACACGAGACCTGCAGCCACGTGGTTCAACCTGGCCAACACAGAATTCCAAAACTCAGCACTCAGCAACCCGAGGGGTGCAGCTCTGCATGGTCAGACTCAGGGAACCCTGGAGTGGTTTTGGTTTGGAGGGACATCAAGCCCATCTGATCCCACCCCCTGCCATGGGCAGGGAACCTTCCCTAGCCCAGGCTGCTCCAAGGCCCTTCCAGCTCCAGCAGGACAGGGCCTGGGCACTGCAGCCAGGGATATTCCCAGGGATATTCCCATGGAGTCCCCCAGCAGTGCAGTACAAGGGTTGGGGAACACTGGTGCTTACTTTGGATCCACTGTGCTCATCAGTTTCAGGAGCTGATCTGCTGCAAGAGACTGTGAGGGAAAAACAAAGTTAGAACCAGGCTGGGAGATGGGAGAGCTCCAGAGAACTTTCCCTGGAATGTCCCCTGGAGTTTTCCCAGCTGGAAAAGCAGAGCACAACACCCCCAGCAAAGAGGAAAGGCCACTCTGGGTGCTGTGCTGGGAGGGTGTGAACACCCCACACTGGGGATTCATCTTCCACAGCAGCCAAAGGCAGCCCTGCCTGGGCAGGATCAGGGATAAACCACAAATGGGTAAAACCACAAATGGATAAAAACACATTGCTGGGGTGTGTTTATCCTTATGTACTAGTAACCTTTTGTGCACAGGTTTTTCTGTCACTGCAAGAGAACAGAGCCCTCTCTAAGCTGTCTGTCCACTAAAGACCTCAATAAACTTATGAACAACTTATAAACAATAAACTTATAAACAACTTACAAACATTTAAGTATTCCATGAAAAAAATGTATTTTACAGCTCTTAGGATAATCCAGGTATCATGATCAGTCACTTCCTGCACCAACGGGGTATTAAGGAAAAAAAGTTTAATTCTCACTAATTTTTTTTATAATGAACCCCAACTTTCATTTTTGAAATGTTTGTTACAATCTGATGGTTTAATGTACAAAAATCCTCCATCACCCCCAATTTACATTTTTCTAATTTGCCTTTAAATTGTTTTTTTTCATTTGTTATTTAATTTTCATCATCTTTTGCTTGTTCCTCCACATGGGAATACATAAAAAATTTAAGTGATGGCAGTAGCAATGCATTAAATTATTGCTGCTTCTTGTGGCTGTAAAAGAGTATTTTATTCTTACTTCTTAATTATTTTATCTATATAGATATGACCAATATATTTATATTGATACATTTTTATTGATATAAATATTCTAGTACTTAGTACTTAAAAGCCTTTTTTGTTCAGCTGTAACAACCTGATGAAGTTTCCTCATATTTTTGACAGATACAAAATTAAAAAGCCAAACTACTTTTTACTTGAAGAACAAGGCAGGTTCCTGGCCTGATAATGACACATATTTGAAATACTTCATTGCTATTCCCAAATCATTCCTTGGCCCCTTCCAGCATTTACTTTGATACTCAAGCAGGTATTTTCCATTCCAATCCCCGCAGTTCCCAGGCAGTGGCTGTGAGGTGACACAAATGGAAGCCACTCTCAGAGCAGGAAAGAGGGGGCAATGAAGGATATCTGGAATGAGGACGTACCTGGGAGTTCAGGTTTGCTCCAGGAAGCCCAAGAGCAGCAAGGGCAGGGTCGAGAGCAGGAGCTCCTAAAGCAGCTAAAGGGACAGCACCAATCTGTGGCAGAGACAGCAGTTAGGGCACAGCAGTGACAAAACTCAGTCAGGGACATCACTGGGCAGGGGAAATAAAGGGGAAGGAGCAAAGCATTCCAGCAAACTGAAGGGATAGTTGAAAGTGAAGTTATTTTTCAGTGCTAAAATGGAAATTTATTCCAAGTTTTTGAGGCTATTGCCCCATTTCTAGTTCATTTTAGGGTTGAGATGGCCATAGTTTATGTTGAAAAGCAATTTAACAAGACTACATCCCTGCAAATGTCTCCAATTTGGTTAAAAAGCTACTGGGAGAGCAGAAGGCTCCCTAAAGCAGCTGATTTTGGGCCATTTCAAATGAGATGACTGAGACTGACACCCAAACCCAACACACAGTGCCAAGATGTGCTGAACTGTGCAGCACAGTCCCCTGAAATGGATGTGCTGAACACATCCCACCAGAGGGGCTGGGAGCAGAGCCACAGCTGCAGTTCAGGTGGCTCAGCATCCATTTCCAGGATCCACATGCACACTTTTTATAGTGAATGAAATCTTTGGGTTGTATTTGGTTCAAAGGTTAAATTCAGGCTCTTCCCTCCTGAGCAGCTCCATGGCCAGGGGCTCCTTCAGCTAAGCAGGAGCTGGGGAGGGTTTGAGAGGTGCAGAATTAACGAGGCTTTATTGTGATTAATTTGCCTCCTGCACTTTGACTCTGTGCCCTGTTAAGAGCTGAGCTGTGACTCCAGCTTCTCCCACAATGTGCAATTCTCACTGTTCATCTTCCACATGAATTCCTGTGGGTTCACACAAGCAGGCTCCAATTTTCCCCTCAGCTGGAGGATTAATGAAGGGAATCTCAGAGTGTGGCAGCTCCTTGGACTTGAGGAATTTACCATCTGTGAGAGCTCTACTGCTTGTCACATCTGTGAAGTACAGCGGGCGAGAGGGGTGGGAGGCACAAACAGGGCCCTGGGAAACCAGGAAAGAGGAAATAAGGGTATTCCATCTAACAACTTGTCACTGTCATGCCCCAATCACATCAGAGCTGTCCCAGTCCAGCAGGGTCAATAAATCACTCTAGGAACTGGAACGAACACATCAGACCTGAAAGGAAGAGCAGGAATGAAGGGGAATGCAGCAGCAGACACCCAGGGGTCCCAGCCTACCTGAGAGAGAGGGTTGGGAGTGGGCAGCAGGCCACCCCCGGGCAGCAGCCCTGCCACGGCATTAGCTGGTGCCAAGAGAGACAAAGCCTTAGTCTCATCAGGAATGACTCCTGCAGGGAAACAGCCTGGCATTAGAGGGCATCCCAGCCCAGAGGCACCAAATACACAAATACACCCAGCAAAGTCTCCCTGATACACCACCTGAGTTTGTTGAAAGTACTTATGTTGGCTAAAATACAAAGCTTGATGGCTATTAATATTTAGCATTAACTTTTTTTGTCAGAATGCAACTTCAATGGGTGACAATTTGACTGTTCCTTTTTCTCTACAAAAGGTTAAGTTTCTAGAGCAAAAAAATAGCACAATACACACTACTTTGTTGTTAACACTGCCAAGGTTTCATCACCTGTACTCGATTTTTAAGTCATGAACCAAACGTAAGCAAGCACAGTCGGTTCTCCAGGGGTGAGAGTGCTCTCAACTTTCAAAAGCTGTTTTATGAACAACGACTCGTGTCGGCTGCTTCACTACAAAGCACACAGAAAAATCAAGATACACAAGACAAAAAAAGTTGGATTTAGGGGTTAATAATATGGTACAGTTCACTATGTTTTCTTTTTACACCTACCATACAAATTTTGGCAAACTTAAAGAGAAGGGACGGGTGTTTGGGTAGGGCTTTTGCTGACGTGTCACATGGAATGCGGTCCCTGCGGCTCTCCGGGAGGGCTGGGGCCGTGTCTGTGGCTGGGACACACACAGGGATGCTGGCACATTCCTTACCTGTGCAGTAAAAGGCTTTTGCTCCAATATGTGCCAGCCTAGAGCACCAGCAGTGCTGCTGCCACCTGCCGTGGCACAGGGGACTCCTGCAGCCAGCCAAGCCCAGGGGTTACTGCACTGCCTGCTCTGCACACACAGTGCTCAGGGCCCTATAGCAAACACGTGTGGAGGGAGTTTTACTCTATCCAACAGCAAAAGCCCTATACAGATGGATTAATTTGTTAATGTGCCCAAGCCCCCAGAATGAGAGTTCAATAAAACAATTTTACTATATAGTTGCAAATACCAGTAGTGTTTCTGTAATACATATTAAGAAACTGCATCTCATCATAAAACATACAATATGTACAGGGCACTTAAGAGAAACTGGATAAGCTGCAGAAGAAAACTGTTGGGTGGTATTTTCAGCAGGGCCTGGTATATAGTTCAGGCTGAACCAGGGAAAAGAACTGTAAAACACAACAACAAAAAAGAAAAACCACTGTTAAATAAAGGTAATGGTTCCTCCCACCTATACTGAGAAGTGCCGATAATCTACACAAATGTACAATACACAGCACTGATATCTGGCTCGTGGCACTGAGCTGGCAGCACTTTAGATACCCAAAGTTATGGAGGGACAGGGAAAAAGGTCATGGAGGCAAAGGGCAGGAATGCATAAATATATCAACATACCTACAGAGAGATTATGGGGTCATTTGGCATGCAAAATTATGTCTCAAGAGGATATTTATCAATTACAGCTAAACATTTCAAATTAGTGCAACTACAACATTTCTGGCATCTAAATACAAATCCTCAGACTTAGCTCGAGACACCTCACAGAAGATCTGCATCCATTAAAAAAATTCATGCATCTGATCCTCTAATTGTTTCTTTAAAAAGTATTTAAATAAACTACAATTTAAAAAAAGCAATGAGGCCCCTCACCAGTTAATTTTCATGCTTCAAGAGCTTTTTTTACTGCTGCTTTGTTAGAACCATGAAATACTGCATGAATGTGTAGAAATGAAAGAAAAAGAAACAGACAAAAGAAACAAACATTAACCAAAGAACCTAAACACCCCCCCCAGCCATCTTTAACCTTAAGAGTTCCTTCCAAATCCAGGAATTAGCCCAGAGAAAATGACAAATACTAAACCTTACCGTAGCCTTTGTGTATAGTTCTATAACACAAAGCAACAGCCAACACCAAAGTGTCTGTGTGAGCTAAAACTTGGGACAGGGGGGGAATTATTGCACTAAACAGATAATAAACATTTGCTTTAGTGACAGGCAATAATCACACAGGTTCATTAGCACAGCAGACATCAGAGAGAGGAGGGCCCCACTCAGCACAGGCCTGGCTTTAAGCACATCAGCAGTGGCACTGTGGGCTGGGGAAATGCTGCTCCTGCTTCAGCTGGGACCCTGGCAGCTGAATTTTGGGGGAAAACTGTATTCCAGCACAAGTATGGGAGTATCAACCCAGGGGCAATGCTTTATTGGCTGAACATCTCTCTTGTGATGTGCCATTAAATTCTGAACTGTCAGACACACAAGGTACAGCCCAGGAGTGACTCCTTGACAGGCCCAGGAAAATATTCTACTTTAATGATTGCATTTTCTGCAGCCCAGCTGCTGGGCAGGGTTCTCTGTGTGCCAGGTTTATCCAGAAGGGACAAAGTGAGACTGACAAAGAGAAAGGTGGGTTTATCCTTGTAGGAAGAGTTGGTTAAACACTGGCATTATTCCCATGGGCCTTGGAGAATATCCCAGCAGAATCCCACTGGCCTGGGGCTGTGTTTAACACCCACACAGGGACAGGAAGCTCTCAGCTCTGCTCTTCTGCAGCAGTGGCAGCAGGAGCAGTGACTCCACTGCACAAGGGGCTCTGCGCCCTCAGGAGCAGCAGGGCTCAGTCAGAGGCCACACTGCACATTCCTACTCTCCAGGAATCAGGCTGGACATCTTTTAAAGTTTAAGTTTTCTATCTTTTAAGCTTAAAGAATACAAAGATAAGATAAGACAGCTCCCCAGGCCTCAAGAGACAGCTCCAGCAGGACAGATTAAGATTACAAGTGTGACCCCAGGCCATGTACCCAACTTAGCAGTGTAGTGTGACTTAATCTGCAAGATTTTATTCAATTCAACCTTTCCCAGAAGTAAATCAAGAAATGCACAAGTACAATGGAAATCAGTTACTTCTAAAGCAAGTCTAGAAGAGTTTAATAAGACTTCTGTAAGAAGAGGTGTCTTCTCAGCACTTTGCTTTTAAGGTAAGTTCCAAAAACCCTGCTCATTGCCTTTCAAATTACTGTAACACCCTAAAATGTAAAAATAAAAAGAAGAAGAGAAAATGTAGTTAACAAGTGGTTACACCAGGAAAACACTTGGGGACTTGAGTGCTTGCTGGCCTTTAGTTAATGGCTAGAATCCCCTGTAGCTGCAGAGGACCCACTGTTTTTCAGTCATCTGGAAGGGCTTTGCATTTGCCTTCTCCACTACAAAAATCACACACACAAATAACAGAGAGAAGAGTTTATTATTTAGTGAAATTCTATTAAATATATCAAGGATGAACAAGAGAACTTGGAATTAAAAACTAGGACCAGTGCCCATGTGGCACCTCTTGGAAGTTGTCACTTTTGAATTAAACCATAATTATTCAAACCCTTGGTATACTGGACTCCACAAGGAGAGTGAGGGCCTTTTTTTGGGGATGTTCCCAAATAAATGCAGTGGCAGCATAGCCCAAAGGAATGTTAATTACTCTCCCATGCACTCTTAGGGAGGGAGAAACCATTCTCATGAAGAGAGTGAAACAATTATTAAGATAAAATTTCCTTAAAATATGGACCTGTTTGCATTACAAACTGTTTGGGAAAATGTCTCATTGAGACTGACACGGAGCAAAATTGGCATAGAATTCTGCCTAAAATGTTCTTAGACACACAAAAAAAACCTTCAAGACACACAAAACTTTCCAGTTAGATTTGGTGTCACTACGGAAACACAGTGACCAAACGCAGGGGCCAAGGCAATATACCAAGGGTTTAGAATGGCAATCTCTGACGTGTTTGACACAGACTACTGGTAAATTCTGAGCACTGGACAGGAACCAACCACCACCCAAGGGTGGCCCCATAGAACACCAAACAAGTTACAAACCTTCAGCATAGGGAACGACTATGAGGGCTCTGTCAACGAACACAGTGTTTGTCAGGTGCTGGGCCACCACGGCCGAGTCGGGGTCGTGGAACTTTACAAAGCACACGCGCGACGACACCGGCAAGGGGGAGTCACTGCAAGAGACAGAGCCACGTCAGGGACAGCAGGGACACTGCCACCCAACCCAAACCCACACCAGCTGTTGTACCCCCTCTTGGAGCTGCAGAGAGCTCTGTTATCCCCTGGAGCTGCAGAGAGCTCTGTTATCCCCTGGAGCTGCATGTGAGCTCTGCTGTGCACAATAAATCCACCTAAATGCAAATTCCGCCCTGGCTGGGAGGAAAACTTGGCTGAAAAAGGAGATAAAGTGACAATTCTGTCTCAGTTAAACCCTGAGGTTCCACACTCGCTGCTTTAGGCCCCAGATGAGTGATTAAGGTAAATTGTGAAACGAAGAGGGTGGTGATTAAAGGATCCTTGGGCGTGTAGGGGCAGGGTGTGGGGTGAAGGATTTGATCTGACAGAGGGCAGGGAGGGGTGGGATGTTGGGAAGGAATTCCTGGCTGGGAGGGTGCTGAGACCCTGGAATGGAATTCCCAGAGCAGCTGTGGCTGCCCCTGGATCCCTGCAGTGCCCAAGGCCAGGCTGGACACCCTGGGACAGTGGGAGGTGTCCCTGCCATGGCAGCGGTAGAACAGGACAGCTCTAAGGTCACTCCCAACCCAGACCAGTCTGGGATTCTGCTTCATTCATCAACCCAATTCCATCCCAGCTTCTAGACTGAACTTCACCATGCTCCCACATCCTGAGCAATGCCCAGTGCTGAGCTCCTGCCTGTCTTCAGCAGGGAAGAACAGAAGGAAATGTGAGCAGCTCAGGCGGGAATGAAAAGCTGAGCACACTAAAACAGACCTCTCTCCAAGGCAGGCCTGTGCCTCTTCCAGCTCAGAACAAGTGACTGTCAACCTACAAACCCAAAACGGAGAAGTTCTGAGCCACTTCGAAGAAAAACCAACCCAGAAATATCAACTTCCTATGACAGGAAATAATGGCAGCACTACAGCTGTAACTTCCCTAATACCAAACCAAACTGAAAAACCAGGTGCAGTCAATCCAGGCATGGGTTTTAAGAACCCCCCCTGTCCTTCAAGTGGGGCAGATTTTGCTGTAATTGGATGTACAAAGTGAAAGACAGGAAGGAAAATTCTTCTGCAGACAGAACTGTGGGACAGAGGCCCAGGCAGGGAGCGGAAGCAGCAGCAAATCCTAAACCCCTCGTTCCTACGCCAGGCCAGAGATCCAGATCAGCCTGGGGAGCTCTGAAAACATCCCTGATCCTGACAAAAAGCTGCTTTTCCTACCTGCATTGCCAGCCCAACTCCAAAACACCCGACTTCAAAGGCACCCCAGCTCCAGAGCAGTTTGATCTGGGCTGCTGAGGCTGATCAAGCCTTTCAGCACTGGGGGCTGTCGGAATTCAGGGAACAGCTCCGACACCAGCGCACAGATTCAGGCGCTATTTTGGGCACTGCAAATGCCAAAAGCTCCCTCACCTTCAGCCCCACCGGCCCCACCACGCACAACTGCTCCCAGTGTCTGTCAGACCACACTTCAATAACCTTACATTTCACCTGGTGTGGACAACTAAATTGGAGCCAGCACACTGCAGCTTCTGAAACATTAAAATTAGAAACAGCCACTTGCTCCCACAGCTTGCAGACTGAATAAATTGGGAAATAACTGCAGTGACAAATGAGAAAAAAAATTGAATCTGTTGGCTCATTTGTGCCCAGGAATCCACAGTAGCTTGCCAAAATGGTGCCTTTTTTAGCCTGCAAGTAATAATTAATAATAAGAAATAACAATAAATAAAAAATAATGATTACATAGAACCAAAGAAGCCTTAGTAGAAGGTGTTTAACAAAATCACAGAAAAATTGTAAAGGAAAGTAAATCAAGGGTCGATGGCAGAGCTGAAGGAGTTCCTAATCTAAACTGTATAAAAATTACACAGTTCATTATAGAGATGCAGCCCAGGATTTTGAGGCATTTTTAAAATGCCAGATAACAAAGGAATGTGAATCAGAGCAGATCCTATTGACTCTTCAGCAGATCCTGTTTACAGCCAGGAGTGCCTGTGGGAATGCTTTGGGGTAGCTGAGCTTTCTCCCAAAATAATGAACCTAAAATATCAACTGCAAATGTGTGAGGCAACGCTTCTGCAGCCTGACATTTAATTTACATCTGTGTATTGCAGTTTTAAAAATGGTATTTCCACTCACTCTCAAATCCAAGCTGGGTGAAATTCAGCAAGAACTGGATGTTCTCAACAGCTCCCAAAAAAAGCCACCATCCATCATTATTCTAATTCACCCAAGGCTGAAGCATTCAGGAATTGTCTCTCAGCCACTGGAATGCTGGGACACACAAGGATTTCCTGGGGCTGCAATACAGGAAACTCAGAAATCCACTCCCTCCACTTTCCAGTCTGGATGCAGCTTCATGGAATATAATTAAGATGAGAACCAGGCAATGGAGTCGAGGAAAAGCAGGAGGAGGAGGGGGAGGAAAACTGGAAGAAGTCCCAAAGCAGATCGTGCATTAAAGATGCAGCTGAGGTGTACAAGAAATGAGAAACATGGGATTAAATAAACTGGGAAAAGGGGTGGATGAGGGGAGAGGAGGAAAAACAGGAACTGAGAAGCTCAGGAAGTTACACATGATCTGGAAGAGCAGGAGAATGAGGAAGTTCTACAGCAGAGCCAGAGTGCCACAGATCAAACAAAGAGGTGGAGCAAAGGAAATGGGCTCGGTTCCTGCAATACTACAGGCAAGGGAGAATCCCAGCAGGACCCAGGAAGGAATCCAGATCATGGGGAGAATTCACTGATTAAGATTTATATCCCACACCCCTCCAAAAATGCATGGGCACCACAGGAAGGGAGAAGTCAGGAGATGGAATCTGAGGGAGAAGGAGCAGAAAAAGAATGTGGCACTATTAGAAAATGTCCCTTTCTTTGGGGGGATGTGGATGGGGCCCTGAAGTGCCAGAGCAGACTCCCATCGGTCCAGGGAAAACCCCCTGGGGGTGAGCTCCTCACACAAGGGAAAGCACACCAAGGCACTGCAGCAGCTTCTGAACAGGTTAGTTAATGTGTATCTAAAGCTACAAAGTTTCAGAGACACAAATCACCTCCAACAACCGCCCTGAAAAACGAGACAAAGTGCTCAAACATAGAGCAGGCCAGGGAAGGACTGCTCCTGCCACGCCAGGTATCCCAGCTGGGAACAAGGGAACTCCCTCTGGAACTGTCTTTGGTTTGTGCTAGCAGGGATGGAAACCTCAGTGAGAAAAAACAAATCTTCTGCTATACTTTTTTCCCCCTAAAATAATAAACCCAAGTAATTTTGGGTATTACAAATAACTGATTGTTTGATTAATGTTAAACGTGGCAGAAAGAAACCCTTTAATTTATATGATGAATATGCAAACCACCAACACATAATGACACCAGGCTTTGTAAATCAATCAAACTGAAACCATCAGCACTGCCAACACCCAGGTTTTATACTGCATCAGAAAGGATTTATATTCATTAGAACTTAGTTTATGTTCATTATTTATGTTCACTAGAACTGCAAGTGAAGATATAAAAACTGTCTTATTTCTTTTTTTTTGTTTGTTGCTATTTGTAAATTGCCGGGATACCTGAAACTTTCTTTTCAGTTATATACACACGTGAAATGCGCATTATTTGTTTTAATTTGCGCTGAATTCCTTGCAAGAGGCGCAACTGACAAATCCGTATTTGTCACTTTCCTTTCTGCTCAGCACAGATCTGTCTGCACGGAACACAAATACCAGAAGTGTATTTTTTGTACATTAGCGGTAAGCTGCTCTTCTAGCAAACAATCCTTTGTAACAAACGCATTTATGTACACTAGAAGTTCTGGCGCTGCGGGGGTGACGCAGACAGCAGAGGCTCGGCGGGCACAAACAACTCCCGGAGACAAACGTGGTTTCACCGGAGCCGCACGTGCCGCTCTACGCCCGCGGTCCCGTGCCCGAGCGGGGCCGTGCGGGGCGCACCGGCAGCGAGAGCCGCCCCCGCCGCGGCCGGGCGGGACCGCGGGGAGCGGGGGCGGCCGGGCCGGGAGCCAGGCAGGGAGCGAGGGAGGCGGCGCCGGGCCGCGGGCAGGGCGGGGGGGGAGGGACGGACGGACGGGGGGGAGGCGGCGGGGCCGGGCCGGGCCCGCACTCACTCGGGGGGGAAGAGGCGCAGCTCCTCGATCTTGCCCAGGAAGCCGAAGAGGGTCCGCATCTGCTCCGAGCTGGCGCTGGGCGAGACGTTGGTGACCTGGATCACGTCGGTGCCGCTGCTGGAGGCCATCGCGCCGCCGCCCGCTCCGCCGGTGCTGCAGCAGACACACACAGCGGGGGCGCGGGGCGGGTGAGGCGCGGGCGGGGCGCTGCGCTTCGCCGCCCCCGGCCCCGTTCGCTCGGCCCGGCCCCGCCGCCCCCGGCCCGCTCCGCTCGCCCCCGCCGGCCCCGCGCGCGCCGCCTCACCAGCCTGCCCGGGCCGCAGTATCCCACGGTGCACCGCGCCGCGCCTGCGCGCGCCGCCCCGCGCATGCGCCGCGCCGCCCGACGCGCACGGAGGAGAGGGACGCCCGCGCGCGGGGGCGGCGCGTGCGCGGAGGGGGCGCGCTCGGGCCCCCCCACCCCCCCCACCCCCCCCACCCCCCCCACCCCCCCCACCCCCTCACGGCCCCGCGCGCGGGAAAGCTGAGGGGGCTCTGAGGGGCCGCTGTTGCCGCCTCGTCATTGCACAGAGCAAAGTCACACAAAATACAGTGTCCCAGTGATGCCTTAGGATTCTGGCATCTGCCTTAGGATTTTCCGTTTTTCTATATTTGTGATCGTGCAGTTCTTCATTGTATAACTCTAAACTCCATATACAATTCTAGTTCACATTTTTGGTCAGACACGAAAGTTTCTCTCCAGGCCTGGGAATCAAGGACTCCTTACTGTCTCAGGGTCCAGTAAATGTAAACAAAAGTGAGTTGAGGGGAGCAAACTTGGGGTAAACGAC